AGATTAATTTCATTTAGATTACACATGAACACCTACTGAAGAAGCACTTCTAGCAATCAGCAAATACTTTTTGAGAACTTATTTGAGCTCCATGCTTAATGGTATGGAAGATAAAGAGAATTAAATTGTTCTTTGTGTTTAGACAGCTTAGCTTACCACAAAGCTGAGGTTTTTTTTTTTTTTTTTTTTTTTTTTCCTTTTCTGAAAGAGCACAGCATGTATGCAATCATGCCTTTTCAGAAAAGAAAAAGTTTTCTCAGGGTCACATTTCATTAAAAACTCTGAAACAGAAAATTCGATTAAATCGCATAGGACTAAAATATGAAGATTGCAATAAAAATAATGACTCCAGTCAATCCTTGTCTAAAATTTATGTTAAGCACCTGTGAGGGACCCTAAACTGTACTGAAAGCTTTAAATAAAAGCCAATCACACTTAGGCCCTAGAGGGAAAGTCAATGGCAAACCTTGGTGATGCTTCATACCTCTCCTTCATCTTTCTGTCCCTGAGATTTCAAATCTCTTGCTATTCACAAATGAGATTTTACAAAAAGCTGCTTTTAAATCTTGGACATTGGATCACAGTGAAATAATCCATTGTGGGATAAAAGTTCGCAGGGTGGCAAACGGAGTTAGAGGAAGCATCTGGTGCGTTTCTTCTGAGAAATACTACACCCACAGAGTTAACGGGGAGGGCTAGCGTTTTAGAAGGCTGCACTTCCTTCTGTATACAAGTGAAACTCCCTCAAGGAAAAACTTTTTTCTGAAGTAATTAGTAGGAGTACCACACCTAAGACTGAAAAAACAGGTTCTAATCCTCCAGGCAGAGTGAAGAAAGGCAGTGGCTTCCAGCAGAGACAGAGCCATAGGGCAGTTCTTTCAGGGTGTTAGTTGAAGATCGGATTTTTTTAATTGAAGTATAGTCAGTTACAATGTATCAATTTCTGGTGTACAGATAGGATTTCAGTTCCTCCTTTCCTTCAGTGTAAAGCTGTCTTGTGTGGTAAGGTTGGTGGGGGGACAGGCATTCAGCCACACAGGTTCGTTGAGCACTTGAAATGTGGCTAGTATGACTGAGGACCTGACTTTTTATTTTGTCAAATACACAACATAAAATTTATGGGGGCGGGGAGGGTATAGCTCAAGTGGTAAAGCACATGCTTAGCATGCACAAGGTCCTGGGTTCAATCAATCCTCAGTATCTTCTCAAAATAAATAAATAAACCTAATTACCTACCCCCCCACCAAAAACCCCAAATAAAGAAATGGCTCTTAAAAAGTATTTTAAAAAAATAAATAAAATGTATCATCTTAACCATTTCTAAGTTCACTATGTTAAGTACATTCAGTATTGTGCAAGCAACCTCCATAACTCATTTTTATCTTGAAAACATGAAACTCTTTACCTGTGAACAATTCCCGATTTCCCACCTTTCCCCGTCTCTGGCAACATCATCATTCTACTTTCTGGCCCTATAAATCTACTTTTGATACCTCATGTAAGTGGAATCATATAGTACTTGTCTTTTTGTGACTGGCTCTTTTCACATAGCCGAATGTCCTCAAGGTTCATCCGTCTTGTAGTGTAATAGAGAAGAACAAATCTGACTCCATATTAGATCTGTTTCTTTGGCTCTAACCCTGTGCTCTGTTCTTGGGCTTAGTCATGCAAGTTCTGTACCTTTTGTAAAAAATGTTTCCTATAGCCTGAAATATACAAAGACAGCCCGTTCTCAAGGCTCTGATCTTTAAGGATTTAACACTTTCCCATTCATATAAGATAAAAAGTTGCAGAATAGAAAATAACATTTGTCTTGGAGGTTTACAGGGACACCATGACCTGACCTACCTGGACAGTTATAAAAACAAACGATTCTGACACCAAGAAGTTTGGAACAACCAACCACACCCCTCCCCCTTTTTAGTATAAAGGGAGCCTAAATTCTGACTTGGGTAAGATGGTTCTCCATGACATTAGTCTGCCATCTTCTCAGTCTTCAGGCTTTCTGAAGAAAGTCATTATTCCTTGCCCCAACACCTCATCTCCTGATTTACTGGCCTGTTGTGTGGTGAGCAGAACAAGTTTGGACTCAGTAATAGTGGCATGTCTCAGAGTTTCCTTCCTTTTTAAAAAGGCTGAATAATGTTCCCTCTTATGTATGCACCACATTTTGTTTATTCATTTAATGGTCAGTGAACACTTGGGTTGCTTCTACCTTTCAACTATTATAAATAATGCTGCTGTGAACATTGGTGTACAAATATCTCTTTTAGACCTTGCCTTCAATTTTTTTGAGTACATATCCAGAAAACAGAATTGCTTGATCATATGACAATTCTTTTTAATTTTTTTAGTTGTCATACTGTTTTCCATAGCAGCTGCACCATTTTACATTTCTATCAGCAACACACAGGAGTTCCAATTTCTCCACATCCTTGCTTTAATTTAAAATAAAAACTCATACTCAATCCAGTTATGGGAAAACTTTTAAGTATGTTTGGAACAACATGGATATATGAGTCTGCTTTTTCAACTGTAAATTTTTTGAAATCTAAATATACATTAAGTATTCCCAATAAAAATTAAAATTCCTGATTAAAAAAATTTATGGAGATGTACTATAAATGGAAAACACACACCAGCCTTCAAAGAAGGAGAAAAGAACATCAAACATCTCATTGATAATGTTATATACTGACTACATATGAAATGATATTTTGAATATGTTGATACAAATAAAAATATTAAAATTAATCTTACCTGTGTTTTTACTTTTGTAAATGTGGCTACTAGAAGAATTTTAAATTACATTTGTGGCTCACATTATATTTCTATTGGCCAGCACTGCTGTAAGGGTAGACACTATTCCCACCACATAATGAAAGCCATCAGATTCTGGAAGACAAGCTCCTTCTGGAGTCCCAATTACTGTAAGTCAAACAAATACATTTCATTGTGTCTTCTGTCCCTAATATTTATATCCATCTTTCTTTTACTACGGGAGGATTACCTGAATGAAAATCTCTATCCACTGTTACTGAGAAAACCTGGACTGCTATATCCAGTCCCTCAGTGACTATCTGGTGTTCAGGCTTGGGTATCCTATTTTCTGTTTTGTTGGTGTATCATAGCCTGATGCCTTCCATTAGAGTATCAACTCCCATGCCTGGGATGAAGGATGGGGACTGTGTGACACCACACCAGGGAAAGCTCAGCGGTGGTAATGTGTTTGCAGAGTCCAATTTCATTCCTTCTTCTTAAACTTGACAATGCTTCCTTAACACAACTTCTCCTCCTGTACCTTTGTGATTCTTACCCACTTACAGCTTATTCCCACTCTGAAAGCAGGCAGAAATCCTGGGGTTCCTTTTGTCTATGTGATGACAAATACTGGGGCAGGACCTAGGCCAGGCGTGGTCACTTTCAGTGACTATGGCTACATGCCCAGAAGAGTGTAGCCCCTCAATCTCACATTGCATTTAGAAGATTTTTATATACTAAGAGCTTGCCCCATTTTACCATTAACATTAATGTTTTGAGTTCTCATTAGAGTATAGACTCTAAGGTTTTATTTTTGTACGGCTATGTGCAATCATAAATACGTTTTCATACTGGTGATGCCCACCAAAGACTACCAAAACACAGTCATGGTCCAACAATGAAGGGTTGTATGCTGTAGTGAGGGAGACCTCACACTCTGGGGAACCCTGGGGTATCTCACGAAGGGGGTGTAAATCAGAGGGTTTATTATAGTATTTGGGCTTGTGTTAGTTTGGGGAGGGCCCAAAGAGACAGGGATCTGTTCTGGTGCTGTCAGAAAGTAAGGGCAATTCAGTGATACACTTATCTGGAAAGCTGGAGGAATGGAGTAGGGCTAGAGTTGTCATTGGAGAAGCAACACTCATGTTAGCTAGGGAGAGGATGTTTGGTCATCTTTTTTGTGGTTGCATTGTGTTTTTTACTGTTCAGGCATGATTAGTCTAATTATCCCCACCTTCCATCTCCTCAGAGAGAGACCTCACCTGACATCAAAATTCCATGATCTGCTTATGTTGATCAGGACATTCAGGTCACCAAAGGTGGCTCTCAGGATTCCTTTTCTTCTTAGCGCTGAATCTGATCATAAGACAGAAAGCAAAAGATTTGCTTAGCAGCTTTTGCTGCAGAATATTACAACTCTTGGTCCCCGATACTGCTAATTCCGACTGTGTATGTGTGCTTAACAAACAACTTCTCCCAAAGAATGGAAAGTTCAGTCTGTCTTGTTTACAGCAAAAACAGTTGGCCCGGATGTAGCAAGAACTCAAATGACACTGAAATGGCGCGTTTCTTACAGAAGTGAAGGTCTTAAGAGTTGACACCCCAGCACTTTGTCTCTGAGGATCGGGCCTGAGGCGAAAGCCCTGCCCGCCAAAGGAACCCCTTGAAGTAGCCAGGTGAGGTCACCTGACGGTGCGGAGTAGCGACCCAAGAGCTGAGAGCGCAGCCTGAGCCCGTTCCTAAAGTTCTGCCCTCGGAGCCGCCTTTATTGGTCTCGGGGGTTCTCGGCTCCCTCTTTCTCCTTGTCAGGCAATGACTCTCATTTTCTTCTGTCACGCTGGTCTTCAATCAAGTGCTCTTTGGGCTCATTGTTTGGAGACTGCGAGTCAGTAGCTTCAGTGGCTAAGGAGCGCTCTGCGAACCCGCTGCCTCCCCTGATAAGACCTTCCCCACCTCCCGCCGCTTGCTCCACGATCCGCCTCCAGAATTTCGCCCACACAACCACACTCACCCACGCCCCCGCCGCACCCCGCCCTCCGAAGCCCTGGCCCCGCCCCGAGCCTGGCCGACTAATCCCCTGCTCCGCTCCAGGCGCGACACATGGGGCCCTTGCGGCCCCGCCCCCAGGCACCCGCCACTGGGGCCCCGCCCCGCCGTAGTCTTTGCGTCCTTCCCGCTCGATTTTGCAAGTAGGATTGCGCCCATCTTCCTGGAGAAGAAGGTGGGGTTTGGAGAGAACCCGGAAGCGGGGCGGGGGCGCAGGCTCCTAGGGCTTTTGTTGCCGGGTGCATGGGCGCAGGGCCGAGGGTGGCAGGGCACGCCACTTCCGTGCGCTGCGTGCGCCGTGCGCTACGTGCGCACGACGAGCGGGAATTAAAGATTACGGCTAGACTCGCCCCTGGCTCCGCCCCCTAGGAGCCCCGCCTAGGGGTTTCCATGGTGATGATAAATTAGCCTAAAATGCCTCAGCTAGGCCTCCGCGTTCCGTCCTCTAGGTGCTCAGAGGGACGACCGAGGTGCTGGGTGTGTATAAGAGCGGGAGGGTGGAGATTCGAAACCCGAGCTGAGGGGTGGGACGGGAAGCGTGTTCGAGACCAGCACCCCTTGACCAACTGGGGACTCTGGGGGTAGGGACAGCGGGTCTGCGATTTGGGATGGGGGCGGAGTCGTTCTTTGCAGAGGCAGCAAAGAGTATCCTTGGCTTCAGTGGAGGAGTCTCCAGCCCACCCCGGGAGACGGAGACCGGAGGAGCCGGAAGGGGACGAGTTTGAGGAAAATCCCTTTTTTAGGGGAGGGATGTTGGGGGAGCCCTAGACGGATCCGCATCCTAGGACCTGGAGGTTTGAGAGGTCTGCGCCTGCCTGCGAGGACACCTTAAACGGTGCAGCCGTGGTAGGAAAACATTGTTTTATTTCTTAAGGCAATAAGTCACATATTTAAAGACTCCCAAGCTTGCACGAGGCTTTATTACTCAAAAGCTTTTCTCCTACCCATTTCCTGTTTCCTAAGGAAATAGTTCAAACCTTTGAATTTTTCTAATCCAAGGAGTTTTATTTCTTCCTTTTGTATCTGCATCTCTTCTCTGTGTTCTTCCTTCATCAGCTTCACTAAATTTAAATCCATCAGTCTGAAATATTTCCTAATTGAGTTCCTTTGCCTCTTGGTCACACTTTGCTGCAGCATTTGTGTAGTCAGCCATTTGCTTTTCTTTCTCTTTTTCTAGTCATATTCATGACTACATTTTACACTGGTTCCTTTTTGGCAAATCATCTTGGAATGAGCCTGCATTCAGCAGGTTGTGGGAGTAGATCCAGGGTTTTGTCCCACACTCGTATTTTTTCTTTATTATCAAGATTTTTTAGTTTAGTTATTTTTCTCCCACTTTAAAATTAAGAAAGATGACATAGATATATTGTAAAACATATCTCGAAGGTGTAAAGAATACAGCTCAACCTAGAATCTGTGTACCCACCATTAACCTTTTTTGAGGGGGTTATTAGGTTTATTTATTTATGGAGGAGATACTGAGGATTGAATCTGGGACCTCTGCATGCTAAGCATGCGCTCTGCCACTTGAGCTATACCTTCCCTCCTTCATTAATCTTAAGAAATAAAATTCTACTCTCAGGTTCCCCTTCCCATTGGTTCTGAATACTGGTCTTGGTAGTTGGAAAAAGAATAGTAGTAATGAAGCTCTCCATACAGTTCCTGTGTTAGAGCAGGCAGGTAACTATAGATACGAGCAGAGAAAGGGGGATGCATGCCAAATGGCAGGAGTTGGGCAGAAAGGAGAGACACAGGCCCAATGCAGGAAACGATACATCATGTAAGCACCAGCAGTCCCTGGGCAGAGAAGGAAAAGCAGGAACCTCTGGGCTAAGTGGTCACACCTTTGCGGATGATGAGCAGCCTGGAGGCTAACAAAGAAAGGTGGGAAAAGGCCGGAATTTCTAGTGTCCGACTATAACATTTTGCTTATTATCCCCTCATTTCAATAAAATTAGCCTTGCAGATTAGAAGTACCCATCATGCACCAACGTCATGACACTTCTGATCCAACCTAAATAAGGAAAGAATCCCTCCTCCCTTTGGGAAGGTGGAGTTGGGATGAAAATCAGGGAATATGACGCCAGACCCTTCCCTCCCCAATAAATATTCTGCCCGTTCATTTTTACACTCTACGTAACCAACTTGCCAAAGAATCTTGCAGCAGCTGCTCACCTGAGCCCGCCTGCTTTCCCCTTGAGAGTATACTATTCATTACTTAATAAATCCTCACTTTACTTTATTTAAACCTCCACCTCTTGTCTCTGAATTCTTTCCGGGACAAGAACCTGGAACACCAGTTACATCCATTGACAACAGTTGTAGTCTACTCTATAGTACCTGGGCTAGTTTCAAACAAGGTTGAATTCTCTTAGAACTTGTCTCCTCCCCTACAACGTGGCATAATCTTAGGCTTAAAGGGACGCTGTATGTGAAGCTCTGGGCAGTTGGTACAATGATTGCTGACTGATACTTATGTATTTGGAGGGATTTATCAATGACTCTCTTGCCTCTTGATTGAGTGTTCCTTTTTTGTAAGATCTGTTACCAGTAAAGCTGCCTTCATCTGTGATTGTGGATCAGTAGAGTAGTGAGAGAAACTATGGGAAGAGGCAAGCTAAAAAATAACAGACTGTTTTAGGTTGACCTTTTTTTTTTCTAATGTTGGTACCTGGCATATGTGTCTACTGAAATAAAATGCACAACGTAGAAGTTGAGAGTTACATTTTATTCAGTGGACACTTCTGAGGAATCGAACCCTTTGAACGAACACTTGATCGCAGTGAGGGACTGATTCAAAGAGGTAGGGGAGGAGCCAGGATATATAAGAGTAAAAACAAAGACCAGGTAGCTGGACCATCAAAAGATTACTGTTAATGAAAGAAAACCAGATAGCTCAAGTTAAGGAATTTAGTGCTTTTCTATGTATGGGAAGGTGCAAATGTCTGGGCTTCTTGAAAACATTCCTTTGACATGCACCTAGCTATCTAGGGCCAGTATCCTGTTCTTTCACGTCCGTCAGGGTGTCCCTCAGGCCTGGCTGCCTGCTGGTCTACATCCTGAGTTCACTGGCAGGGAGTGGCAGGGCTGGTGGTAGCGGCTGATGACTTGATGGCCACAACATTCTTTGTTTACTGATATGGCTTGCTGTATTTTTTGTTCACATAAGTGACCAATAAAAGACTACTGGATGAAAAAAAAAAAGAAGGAAAAGTAGAACACTGCCTTTTATTTTATGATCCTTTGTGTAGTCCTAATCATCACAGCTCCTCCCATCTCTATCTTGAATTTTATGTTGGTCAGTTGCTTGCTTTTCTTCATAATTTGACTAAAATTGTGTCCCACAGAAAAATGTACTGAACAGTTCTGCATGTCTTTGGATTCTTTATGTATTGTTTTCCTACTCCATGTTTTCTTAAGTGCCTTTCTTTGGTTAGTTAACCTCTTCTGTTGTTTTCACAGAATTATTCCAAAACCAAGCATAAAGCTGTAGTACTTTTTGCTGCTAAGTATTCCATTTGATAAGCAGGCAACAATTTATTTCTCCACTGTTCTGTTAAAGGACTTACAGGCTGTTTCTAGTTTGGCGTATTGTGAACAGTGATGCTTTGAATCAGGACATGTCTTCTGGGACACACGTGCCAGATTTACTTTTGGCTTCTGTACCTATGATGGAATTTCTGGGTCATAGAGTTTGCCCACATTCAACTTCATCACATAAGGACACTTTCTAAGACAGTTGTACCAGTTTATTTCCCTAGCCCCAAGGGGATTGCTAGATTATATAATGAGTAAATATTTAACTTTATAAGAAATTACCAAACTTTTCCAGAAGTGTCTGTACCATCTTGCATTCTCATTAGCAATATATGAGAGTTCTGATTGCTTTACATCTTCTTAACATCTTTTAAAACATTTAAAAGTATTTTAGCCATTCTGTAGGGGTATATGGCCATATTTTGTCATGGTTTTAATTTTCATTTCACTAATGGCTCATAATGTTGATTATTTTTTCATGAGCTTACTTATCATCCCCATAACCCTTTTAAGGTATTTATCTGATCAAGTGTTTTGCCCATTTAAAAAAATTGGGTTCTTTCCTTCCTATTGAGTTTTAACAGTTCTTTATGCTTTGAAAATACAGATCCTTGGTGTTATATCTAAGAACTCTTTGCATAACACTAAGTCTTAAAGATTTTTCACCTGTATTTTCTTTTAAAAGTTTTACACTTTTATATTTTATGTATAGATTTATTTTGAGGTTTATTTTTTTTTTTTGCTTTTGAATGAGGTGTGAGGTTTAAATCAATATTCTCTCTTTCTCTTTTTTTTCTGCATATGGATATACAATTGTTCCATCACCATTTGTTGAAAAGACTACTTTCTCTGCTGAATTGCCTTTGCTGTATTGTAAAAAATTTTTTAAAAATCAGAAAAAAAATTTGTGTGGGTCTGGACCTGGACTACTCTGTCCCCTTAATTTATATGTGTATCTTTTCATCATTACTACATTGTCTTCATTGTAACTTTATGCTAATTTCCAAAATAGTGCAGTCTGAGTTCAACATTATTCACCTTTTTCAAAATTGTTTGGCTATCCTAGTTCCTTTGCCTTTCCATGTAAATTTTAGAATCAGTTTGTCTATATTTATTAAAAAAATACTGCTTGGGGGTAGGTATAGCTCAGTGGTAGACAGCATGCTTAGCATGCACAAGGTCCTGGGTTCGATCCCCAGTACCTCTTCTAAAAGTAGATAAAGAAAGAAAGAAACCTAATCCCCCCACCCCCCAAAAAAGGCAAAATCAAAATACTGCTGAGATTTTGATAGGAATTGTATTAATCCTAGTATCATTTTGGGAGAGAATTGACATTTGCCTTCACTATGTTGAATCTTCCAATATGTGAACACAGTATGTCTATTCATTTACTTAGAGCTTCTTGGACTTCTTTCATAAGCATTTTGTAGTTTTTAGCATCCAAGTCCTACATACTTTTTATTAGATATGTGAGATATGTAAGTAATTTTAATTTTTTGAGCTATCATAAATGGTATTTCAAATTTATATTTCCACATATTTTATTGCGAGTACATAAAAATACAATTGATTTCTGTATGTTGATCATGTAGTCTATGACTGTGCTTAACTTATTAGCAGAACCTTTGGCGTCCCCTCCCCCAACCCCCACAACCCCTGTCTCTTGTTTATAGAAAAGCTGAAGTCTCCCAGGCCTCCCTGAGTCACAGAAGAGCAGGCTCAAGTAGTTGATTAGGACAAGCCTGCAGGCTTTGGGAGATGGCAAGAACTCTGACCACCTATCTCAATGATTAACTGAGATTATTCCTTCATTTCCCTTTAAAACTTTCGTGGCTGAACAGAATCTTTGGAGGTGGTTTTTTAGGGGGGATGCTGGGTCCACAAGGTTGCAGGCATTCTGATTAAAAGCAACTTTCCTTTTTGTTACCAAGGCTCTTGTCCCCAGGATCATACCCCTGCCCCTTCCTCATACAGAAACTAATTACTCTTGTCTAAGTCTCAGGAGGCAGCTGCAGAGAAGAAACAAGAACTGGTTAAAACTCATAGAGACCAAGATGGTGGAGGATCTAACTTCCAGTCGACCTTGAGCCTCATTATACATTCATTGTAATGTGTGTTAACATGCTCAGTGACATACCCATGAGTGCCATGACAGTTAACAGTTGCCGTGACAACCACCAGAAAAGCCCATAGAGGACTGAAAAACTTAGAGCAGGGACTTATTGGCTCCACCACACATTGAATGCGGACATGATGGCAGAAGCTTCCCATAAAAGTCTATGTGGCCCAACCTGGGCCGGAGCTGTCTC